CAACCAGTGGTTGTATGGTACTTTATCTCAATGTATTCTCAATTCCATTTTAAAAGTCTATTTTACTGCTTCTCAAGTATGGAAAGGTATTGAAGAGCTCTTTAGAGACAATAAAGAAGCCAATAGAGCTTCACAATGAACTTATGAACATTGTCCTTGGAGACTCGATAATTATAGAATAGTGTACCTTGATCAAGAATATACCCGAGTTGTTGTCAAATATTGAAGTACCTTAACGAAATATTGTCATTTACGCTATCAATAGTCTACCACTGAAGTTCGATCACATTACCACAAGATATGCCATAAATATTTGTTTCCAACATGATTATAAATGTAATTCATGCTCACGATTGAAGAACAATGCATGCTACATAATCAAAACCGCATCATTCAAGCCTTTCATCATGACCATGCCTCCACATCCACTGTGCTCAAGGTGAATCATAACAACAATCAAGGTTCTAATTCTTCATGTGGGGGAATAAACGGCGACCATAGTGGTAGTCGGAACCACCTGGGTGGCGACAATGAGGGACGCTTCGGTGGTAGAGAAGGCGGCCGCCATGTAAAAACCTAAAATTTAGCAAAAATTTGACTTTTAGTTAAATATCGACCAAAAGGGTAAAATGGTCAATTATGAGAAATAGATAAGATTATGAAGTTGTGACTTCATGAAAATGGACAATAAGAGTTTAAGTCACTTATAAGAGTTTAGATGAGTAGGTTCAAGAGAAAGAATGCATGAGAAGATGCATTTTGACCAAAAGGGTAAAGTTGGTATTTTTATGCTTTTTGGGACAAGTTGGTGACTTAATATATTAAAACATGTATTAATTATGTAACATTCCGTTTGAAATTAAGTAATTAAATAATAAACCCTAAACTTCGGGATGTAAATTATATTTTAGTTTATACTATTGTAGCCAAAAATCAATAATAATTTAGCAAGGTGTTGCCTTCAAGGAGTTAAATGTTGTTATTTTGGATAACGGGGGGTTAAAGTATAATTTTCGAGGTGGTTTTGCAAAGAAATTCAGAAGGTAGGGGTGTTTGGTAAGTTTGGGAGTTAATCTGAAAAAGATCTTATGGGGAGGGACTGAACTTGGAAAAAAGGACTTAAGTTTGGAAGAAGGCACGGGATTAAACCGACGCTCCTTCCCTCTTGTTTGGAGGATGAAAACCCTAACCCTAGCATATTGTTCTCCAGCCGCCACCATCATGGAGCCTTCTCAGTCGCTGCCTGTAATGCCAAGTTCGATCGCTGCTCTACCTCCAGCTACTTTTCCGTTAAACGCCTCCACAACAGCTCCTGCTGACGTAACCGAATTATGTTTGGGCTTCGAGTTGTGCCTTTCTTTTGGGCTTAGGTGTTTGGATTCTTGTTGGGCCATCTGAGAACAAGTGTATGGACTAGGATATTTAGATGAGCTTTAGGTTAAGGCCCATGTAAGGGGTTTGGGCCCAATTTGGAAAATTAGGCCATATTTGGGCCTTGGTTGATTATTTGGCTTTTGGACCTCCAGAGTTTGAGTATAGGCCTTGGTTTTAGACCAAGCTAGGTTAGGGGTAAAATAGTCTTTTACCCCAAGTATGGGTTTATGGTTATGCTTTGGCACCCAATTGTTAATTGGGTGTTGTTTTGATGATTGACAGTTCGTGGATCTGTCAGCCAGCAACCGGGGTTCGTCTGTGTCATTCGGCGTGTGAGGTGAGTCTTCTCACTATATCCAGGGGTCGAAGGCACCAATGCCAGCCCATTACTTGTTATGTGGAATGCTAGTTGTCTCTGTGATACTTGCATGAAAGACCATGGGGGGATCCCATGGCATTTGGATATAAGACCATGAGGGGAGCCCATGTCATTTGGATATAAGACCATGGGGGTGCCTATGACATTTGGATATAAGACCATGGGGGGGAGCCCATGGCATTCTTGGTGAAGACCATGGGGGAGCCCATGGAAACTATATGTATGTTGCATGATATAATGTGGATGATATTATATGGTTGTATGTTATGTGGTATTTTGGGGAACTCACTAAGCTTTGTGCTTACGGTTTTTAGTTTATGTTTCAGGTACTCTGGTTTTCAAATGGAAGGGCTCGGGATGATTGCAGACACACACCACATGTTTTCGCTTTCTGTGAACTACTATGATTTGTCAATGTTTTGTTAAAACTTAATTACTCTGATTTTGTGGGAAAAATATGTATTAACGATTTATTAATTTAAAAAAAATTATATCATGATTTTTGGGGTGTTACAAATTCATTGAGATATGACTTATCAGATGTATAAAGTATGTTCCCACCTTCGCGTGGATATAAATATCATAGAAAACAGGTAAGAAACGAAGAATATATGAATGTCAGAAGTTGGGACAAAAATATCCCAAGGCTATAATGGTTGGGCTGCTGTTAAGCCAGAACCGCGACGAGTGAAGAAAGGGGTTCTGTAACATCCCAAAAATCATGATAAAAAATTTCATTTTTGTAAAACATTTCCACAAACCAAAATATAACAACCATTGTTTCAAGACAAATCCATAAAATCAGAGTATCAAAAATCTCTCAAAACATATATCAGCAAGAGGATGTGTACGATCATGCTTTCGCCTTGCCCCGATCCTCTGAGGTATCTAAAATCATGAAACCAACAACTGTAAGGCAAATCTTAGTGAGTTTCCCCAAAATACCCCACACGACAATACATATTCAATGCATGCATAATGGGCCCACAACAACAGACTGGATTGCCCCTGAGCCTACAACATGAGACCGGATAGCCCACGTCCGACCCACAGCTCATGACTGGCTTGCTCCTGAACCCACAACATAAGACTGGATTGCCTCCCGGCCCTCAACTTATGACTGGATTGCTCCCGGGTTTGTTGGCTTACAAAACAAAGCAGTACCGCCTCAACCCAGCCGCACTATGTTGACATATGCAACAGATAAACAATAACCAACAAATAAAGTGTAATCGTACAGATCTACCAATCTAACATATCACTACAACATAGCAACATCCTATACATAAGGATACATAACACAATCCAGTGGGTGACATTGGTGCCTTCGACCCATAAGTACAGTGAGGAAAACTCACCTCAATGTCTAGAAGATAGCTGAACTGATAACTGATCCTAATACAGGCTCTACAGGTCACCTATACAATAGATAGGGATCAAGCTTCAAACTACACTAAAAAATACTCCAATTGACCTAAAGTCAAACTTGATCAAAGTCAACGTTCCACGGTCAAAAAGTCAAAAGTCAACATCTAGCCAATCTACTCCCAGCGTAGTAGCTCTACGCCTTGCGTAGAGCTCAAGAAAACAAAGATGGGGGAAATATGAGTTACGCCCTGTGTAAGGGGATTTACGCCCTACGTAAACCCCTAATGCCCTAACTTAATTATTAAGCCCTTAATTCAGTTCAATAAATCTTCCAACTTCCAAATCTCGATCTTATAAACACCTTAATGGATCTTAATTTTGGGATTAATTTGATTAATTAAAAGTGCAGGGACTGTCTGGTTATTTACTGAAAGTTGAAGCAAGAAGACTCTAGAACCCCATGGGATGGGGTGGACGAAAATTGGCTAGGAATAGCCTAGAATTTTCGTTCATGGGGCTTAGGATAAGGAGATAAGGCAACTTGATTATTATATTAATTAATTTAGGCCTTATCTCAAATCTAAAAGCTACTTCATGTAGCGTTTAACAAAATGCTACTGAGCTTTTTAAATCAATTTCCATATATATATATATATATATATATATATATATATATATATATGTCTTTTTATGTAATTTTATATATTTCAAAAGCTTCCGTTAGGGGTGAGCATGATGCGGTTTTAGGGCCAAACCGAACCGCAAACCGCAAGGTGCAGTTTTTAAATTCTAGAAACCGTTGGGTGCGGTTTTTCAATGGTTCGGTTTTGCGGTTTTTGAGTGTGGTTTCAGTTTGTACCGGTTCGGTGTCGGTTTTAAACCGAGTCAAACATATGGTGCGATTTTTTATGTTCACCGGTACGATTTTTTTAACCGTGATGTTCATGTGAAGATTAAAGATTGTATGACATGGTGTCATTTCGTTTCCTCAAATTTAGAAGCTGTAATTTTGAGTTTTTTTATGCTGTTTACTTGATAACATCATTTGCAACCCATATTTCCAAGCTCATTTTTTTTATTAAATTTGTGCTTAGAAGTTACAAGCTTGCAAATTGTAGCCCACAGAGTGTTTACCTTTACACATAATCATTAAGTCACAAACACAAAGTGACAAACTCAAATATTAAACTTAATACCTAATTACTAATTACCGTCAAGTTCAATATATAATATATGTATAAATTAGAATTTATTAGTTTTTTTAAATAATATGTATAATTGTATGATATAAATTAGTGATTTATTTTATTGTTAATAAGCTTGCGGTGCGGTTCGGTTTTGGTGGTCCGGTTTCTAGATAAAAACCGTACTGCACCAATAAATTTGGTTTTTCAAAAAAATAAAATTCGCACCATCGGTTTTTGCGTCGGTTTCGGTTTTTCGGTTGCGGTTTTTGCAATTTTTCTTTTATCGGTTCGGTTTTTGCTCACCCTTAGCTTCCGTTTATTTTTTGTCAAACACTCATATAACAAATAAAAACAAAATATTACAGCTACTAGCTAATAGCTAGTTTTACCAAACACGCCCTAAATGAAACTTAAAATACCATTTTTTTTTTTTTTACTTTTTTTCATTTCAATCAATTACTCTTTTTCCCTTGAACTCGGAACAATTTATTATTTAATTTGTTATTGTAAAGAATAGATTTCAAAAAAAAAATCATGAATTTTAACATTCTAATTTCTTTTTAAAAAAGCATTTAACTAAAATTACGTTTTTAGCCTTTCCCTTCCCCCAAACAATGTCGCGAAAGAGAGAGAGGAGAGGACCACTTCAACGTCCCTTCTCTATAAAACGCAGCTCTCTTCTCCCATTTCAGGTTAAACCAAAACATTTCTCTCTTTCTTCTGCGCTTTGCTTTGCTTTGCTTTGCTTTAGGGACTTCATTCTAACACACGCTTAAACCCTTTCATACTCTCTCTCTCTCCCTCTCTAGATTCTTTAGTCAATTTTGATGTTATTAATCCTTCTTTCCTCCCTCTACACAACCAGGTCAATATCTCTTTCTACGCTCTTTTTCAATCGCTTTGTTTCATACTTTAATCTTTGATTGAATCCTTCTTCTTTCGTATTTTCAGTATAACAGGAGTGTAGAGGAGTGAAAAAGACAGTCTGATATCATATGGCGGGTACCGTAAGATCGAGCTTGCCGTCGAGGTTACGGCACCTTTTATCCGGTGAAGGATCAATTGGTCCAAATGTTAAACTCGATTCCGAGACTGTAAGTTTTCGTTTCTTCTTGTTAATGTTCGCTTCATTGCGTTTGGTATATGTAGTTAAATATGAAGTGGTTTTTTTGCTTGGGTGATCATTTTGGCAGGTGCTTATGCGTGTTGTGTTAATCCATTGTTGCCTTTAGGATTAAGAGTTCTTTATTATAGTGTTGTTATTGATTGGTATGCATTTAGGGCAGCTTCTAGAAGATAATTCATGATTATGGAATGGCATTATTGAAAGAGTAGTTAAAGTATATATAGTAATTGTCCCAGGTCATGTACTGCATGATTGGCCTATTGCATTAGGGCTAGTTATTCTTGGTTTTCATGCATTTTTACTCCTGTTCTTTAGCTGCACTATGATTTTGAATGTTAAACATAGCACTTCTTGTTGGAAGCTGATATGAATCTTCTTGCAAATACAATTTTAATTAATATGCTACATCCACAAGAAATCAATTCTATGTGTTTTGTCTTATTTGCAGCCTCCAAAAGTAAAGGCATTTATCGACAAGGTGATACTGTGTCCATTACAAGATATAGCAATCCCCCTTTCAGGTTTCTCTTGGGAGTACAACAAGGTGATAGATCATATGCCATGTCACTTTTTTTTTTTAAGATTTGTCCAAGTGGCACTTGGCTAAACATTTTACTTTATCTTCAGGGCAATTTTCATCATTGGAGGCCACTGTTCCTGCATTTTGATACATACTTCAAGACTTATTTGTCTGCTAGGAAGGATCTCCTTTTGACAGATAATATCATAGAAGATGACAGTCCTTTCCCAAAGCAATCAGTTCTCCAAATTCTTCGTGTGATGCGTATCATTTTAGAGAATTGCCACAACAAGGGATCATTTAGTGGCTTAGAGGTATGTTTCTATATTTACTCCAAATCTGTCAAATGTTCCTCTCTAAAGCGTGCTTTTGTTTTTTTTCAGCATTTCAAGCTATTACTTGCATCAACTGATCCCGAGGTTCTCATTGCCACCTTGGAGACACTCTCAACATTAGTGAAAATAAACCCCTCAAAGCTCCATGGAAACGGGAAACTCATAGGATGTGGTTCAATAAACAGTTGTCTTTTATCATTAGCACAAGGATGGGGAAGCAAGGAAGAGGGCTTAGGCCTGTATTCATGTGTTGTTTTAAACGAAAGAACACAGGACAATAGTCTATCCTTATTTCCTTCAGACTTGCCTTCTGATAATGGTAATTCCCAAAACCACGTGGGGTCCACCCTATACTTTGAGTTGCATGGCACAGATACAATTCACATTCCAGATCTTCATATGTGGAAAGAGGATGATCTATCGATAATGAAGCTGTTGGTTGAGAAGTACAATGTCCCAGTTGACCATAGATTTTTGTTGTTGACTAGGGTTAGATATGCTCATGCCTTTCGTTCTTCAAGAATATGCAAGCTGTACAGCAAGATATGTCTTCTTGCTTTCATTGTTCTTGTTCAATCAAGCGATTCCCATGATGAACTCATGCCCTTTTTTGCAAATGAGCCAGAATACACAAACGAGTTGATCAGACTTGTGAAATCTGAAGAGACTATATCTCCAACTATTCGTACACTTGCTATGCATGCTTTGGGATCACAGCTGGCTGCATATTCATCGTCTCATGAGAGGGCACGTATTCTCAACGGATCAAACATTGCAGGTGGCAACCGTGTGATTCTCCTTAATGTCCTGCAAAGGGCGACTTCGTCATTAAACAAGTCAAGTGATCCATCGTCTATTGCATTCGTTGAAGCACTGCTACAATTCTACTTGCTTCAAGTGATATCAACTTCAAGTCCTGGGAGTGTTATACGGGGACCGGGAATGGTTCCAACCTTTTTACCTCTTTTAGAGGATATGGATCCTCTACACATGCATCTTGTGTGTTTATCTGTGAAGACTCTACAAAAGCTCATGGATTATAGTAACTCGGCTGTTGCCCTTTTCAGAGACTTGGGAGGGGTTGACCTTTTGACCATCAGACTGCAGACAGAAGTGGATAGAGTGATTCGTTCGAGTCATTCAACTACAGGATATGATAGTTCAATGAGCATCGGGGAGTGTTCTCATACAAGTGAGGATCTGGTTTCTTCACAGAAGAGGCTCATTAGGGTTTTATTGAAGGCACTGGGTTGTGCTACTTATGCTCCAGCAAACACTCATCAGAGTGCAAATGACGTTTCTCTCCCTGCCACTCTTGTAATGATTTTTCAGAATGTGGATAAATTTGGAGGCGATATATATTCTTCAACTGTGACTGTGATGTGTGAACTGATTCACAAAGATCCCACTTGTTATCCTGCATTGGATGAAGCCGGTCTACCTGATGCCTTTTTATCAACAGTGACAGCTGGCATTCTTCCTTCTTCAAAGTCTCTCACTTGTGTTCCTAACGGTCTTGCAGCTATTTGTCTCAATGCCAAGGGACTAGAAGCAGTCAAAGAAACTTCAGCTCTGAGATTCTTAGTTGACGTTTTTACCCTCAAGAAATATGTCCTTCCAATGAGTGATGGTATTGTGCCTTTGGCTAATGCTTTTGAGGAGCTTATGCGCCATGTTACTTCCCTAAAACCAACCGGTGTAGATTTGATTATTGAGATTATCAACAAAATTGCTACAATAGAAGACAGTAAAAGTGAAGGTACAGGGCAAATCAATGGGAGTGATGTTATGGATGTGGACACTGAAGAGAAGGAAAAAGGAGTTAGTGATGAGCAGTTCATCCAATTATGTATTTTTCATGTAATGGTGTTGGTTCATCGAACGATGGAAAATGCTGAAAATTGTCGATTGTTTGTAGAGTTAAATGGCATTGAAGCATTGTTGAAGCTTTTGTTAAGACCAAGTATAACTCAATCATCCGAAGGAATGTCCATAGCTTTACATAGCACAATGGTTTTCAAAAGTTTTACCCAACATCACTCTACTTCTTTAGCACGTGCTTTTTGTTCCTCGCTCCGGGATTATTTGAAGACAACTTTAGCAGGATTTCAGGTTGTTTCAGGTTCTTTTCTGTTAGATCCGGAATCCACACCAGATTCAAGAGTTTTTCCTTCTCTTTTTCTTGTTGAATTCCTTCTGTCTCTAGCTGCCTCGAAGGACAATAAATGGGTTACTGCTTTACTCCAGGAATTTGGGAATGGTAGCAAAGATGTTCTAGAAGATATCGGAAGAGTCCACCGTGAGATTTTATGGCAGATTGTGTTACTTGAAGATGCTAAGATTGAAATCAAGGATGAAAATGTTGATGGGGAAGAATCACAGCCTTTAGAAACCGATGAACAAAGATTTAATTCATTCAGACAGTTTCTTGATCCTTTAATGAGAAGGCAAATGTCAGGATTGAGTTCTGAATCCCAGTTTTTTGATTTGATCAATCTGTATCGTGATCTCACTCATTCTTCTGGAGCTGGTCAACGATCACATCCCACTAGTCAACGGTCACATCCCGCTGGATCTTCAGACATGATGAGGTCACTCTCTTCACACATCACAAATTTGTTTCAAGAGCTAGGAAAAGCTATGTTGCTTCCTTCTAGAAGACGAGATGATACAGTGACAGTTACACCTTCTTCAAGATCAGTGGCTTCCATGATTGCTTCCATTTCGCTAGATCATTTGAAATTTGAAGGTCATGTGAAGTCAGTGGTATCCATGTCAGCAAAGTGTTGCTACCTTGGAAAAGTTGTGGAATTTATCGATGGTGTTTTACTGGATAAACCCGACTCATGTAATCCTGTTCTGTTAAATTGTTTATATGGTCTTGGGGTTGTTCAGTTAGTTTTGACCACATTCAAAGCTACCACTGAGCTGATTTTTAGGGCTCCAATGGAGACTGATGAGGGGGTCTTGAAGCAAACTGACGCAGAAGAAACGGTTAATGGTCTATTATCCAACTATGGTAGACTTATGGATCACCTTGTGACATCATCTTTTATTTTGTCTCCATCTACAAAACATTTACTTACACAACCGCTTGTAAATGGAGACATTCTCTTCCCGAAAGATCCCGAGGTTTTTGTGAAGGTTCTTCAATCCATGATTCTGAAAGCTGTGCTTCCTCTATGGACTCATCCCCAGTTCACCGATTGCAATGATGATTTTGTTTCTACAGTGATTTCTGTTATCCGTCATGTGTTTTCTGGGGTTGAAGTGAAAAATTCTGCATCACGTCCCTCTGTGCCTCCAAATGAAACAACTATATCCATGATAGTTGAAATGGGGTTTCCGAGATCACGAGCAGAAGAGGCTTTGAGACAAGTGGGGTCCAATAGTGTAGAGCTGGCAACAGAATGGCTTTTCTCACATCCTGAAATAGTCCAAGAAGATGATGAACTTGCTCAAGCACTTGCTATGTCTCTTGGTAATTCTTCATCTGTTGCAGTTGATACTAATCAGCAAATCGAAGAGGAAACTGTACATTTACCTGCTGTTGATGACTTGTTGTCTACTTGTAAGAAGCTTCTAGAAACGAAGGATTCTCTAGCATTTTCAGTTCGGGACCTTCTTCTAATGATATGTTCTCATGAAGATGGTCATTACAAGTCAAATGTTATAACATTTGTAGTGGAGCAGGTGAAGCTTTGTAGTGGAAATGATGTCATGCTGTCATCCCTCTTTCATGTTCTTGCTTTGCTTCTAAACAAGGATGAAGACTTACGTGAAGTTGCTTCTAAAATCGGTTTAGTTAAAGTTGCTTCAGATCTTTTGTCAAAATGGAACTCTGGTGTACATGAGAATGAAACTTTGCAGGTTCCTAAATGGGTGACAGCAGCCTTTCTTTCTGTTGATCGCCTTGCTCAGGTGGATGAAAAGATGAACACTGATATTTCAGAGCTGTTAAAGAAAGAGGATGCTGGTAATGCAATAGATATAGAGGAGCAAAAGAGACTTGTTGAGATATCCTGTGGCTATTTGAAGAACCATCTTCCATCTGAAACGATTCAGGCTGTTTTGCAGCTATGTTCCACGCTTACAAGAACTCATTCTGTTGCTGTTAGTTTCCTAAATGCTGGTGGCTTGCCTTTGCTGCTATCATTGCCTTCAGGTAGTCTGTTTGTTGGCTTTGATAACACTGCTGGATCTATCATTCGCCATATTCTTGAAGACCCACAAACTCTCCAGCAAGCAATGGAATCTGAAATAAAACAGAGTGTTGTTACAGCTGCCAGTCGACAATCTAATGGAAGACTTACACCCCGTAACTTCCTCATGAATCTGACATCTGTCATTTCAAGGGACCCCATGATTTTCATGCAGGCTGCACAGTCTGTTTGCCAAATTGAGATGGTTGGTGAAAGACCATATGTTATATTGCTAAAAGACCGTGATAAAGATAAGTCCAAAGAAAAAGAAAAAGAAAAGGAAAAGGAAAAGGAAAAAACTCCAGTGAAGATCAAAGTTCATCGTAAACCTCCTCAGAGTTTTGTGAATGTAATTGAGCTGCTTTTGGCTTCTGTTATAACTTTTACACCTCCTTTAAAAGACGATGATTCATCATCAACAGATATGGACATTGATGTTGCTTTGAACAAGGGGAAAGGGAAAGTGGTTGCTTCCACATCTGAAAATAATAGCCAGGAGTATTTTGCATCTATGGCGAAAGCTGTATTCATTTTAAAGCTCCTAACAGAAATTCTGTTGATGTATAGTCCATCTGTTCATGTTCTGCTTCGAAGAGATAATGAAGTTAGCAGCGCCCAAAAGGGTGGAGTATTTCATCATATTCTTCATCAATTTCTTCCTTACTTGAAAAATAATAAAAAGGAGAAGAAGACAGATGTTGACTGGAGGCATAAACTTGCGGTCAAAGCTAGTCAATTTTTAGTAGCTTCTTGTGTGCGTTCTGTAGAGGCAAGGAAGAGAATCTTTGTGGAGATTAATAATGTTTTTATTGATTTCTATAATTCTTCTGAGGTTCCTCGACCCCCAGGTCAGAATATCCAAGCTTTTGTTGATTTGCTGAATGATGTGCTGGCTGCTCGCTCGCCTACAGGTTCTTTAATTTCTGGAGAAGCTTCTGTTACTTTTATTGATGTTGGTCTGGTTAAGTCACTTACACAAACCCTAAAAGTCATGGACTTGGATCATGTTGATTCACTCAAGGTTGCTCCTGTGGTGGTTAAGGTTCTAGAAGTGGTTACAAAAGAACATGTCCATGCTGCCGAGGGTAATTCTGGAAAAGGTGATAATGCAACAAAACCTCCTGATCATACTGAACATGAGCAAACTGAAAATGAAAATATCGTAAGTTCTGGCCCCACTGAACGCATTGAGACTTATCGTGGATCTGAAGCTGTTATAGATGACATGGAACATGATCAGGATATTGATGGAAGTTTTGCTCCCCCAAATGAAGATGATTACATGCATGAAACTTCTGAGAATAATATTAGGGCGCTTGAAAATGGTTTTGATTCTGTTGGAATAAGGTTTGAAATCCAAGATGACAATCAAGAGAGTAACGAAGATGACGATGAAGATATGTCAGGGGATGAAGGAGATGAAGTTGATGACGATGATGATGAAGAAGAAGATGGAGAGGAAGATGAAGATGAAGATGAAAACAATGATCTCGAAGAAGATGAAGAAGTCCATCACTTGCCGCATCTTGACACGGATCAAGATGAACATGAACATGAAGTTGATGAAGATGATTTTGATGAGGACATGATTGAGGAAGAAGAAGAAGACGAAGATGATGATGATGAAGAAGACGATGATGATGGTGGAGTGATATTAGGACTTGGTGAGGAAATGAATGGGATGAATGTATTGGACCAAATTGAGGTATTTGGAAGAGACCATGGTTTTTCCAATGATGCCCTCCAAGTGATGCCTGTTGAGGTTTTTGGTTCTAGACGTCAAGGGCGTACAACGTCCATTTACAATCTTCTTGGGAGGACACATGACACTGCTGGGCCCTCTCAGCATCCACTCCTCTTGGAGCCTTCTTCATCTCATGATGGGCTTACTGACAGAAATCCAGAGTCAACCTCATCCAGATTGGAATCAGTATTCCGGTCTTTAAGGAATGGGCGCCATGGACATTCACATCGTCTAAGCATGTGGGCTTATAACCAGCAAAGTGGTGGAACAAATTCATCTGTTATTCCCTCAGGCCTTGAAGATTTATTGGTTTCTCAATTGAGTCCCCCAAGTCCTGAAAAGCCACCGGAGGTTGAAACTAACGAACCTGAACCCACTACTGACAACAACGGTGTTGGCGATTCCATTCCTCCTGAAGGTACTGGTACTGAAAACAATGAATCTCAAAGAGACATATGTCCATCTGTTGAAGGTGTGAGCCAAGAAAGCAGTGAAAGTGGAGCCACGTTAGGAGAAAGTCTTCAGAGCCTGAATGTTGAAATTGGAAGTGATGATGGTGGTGGTGAGAGGCAACCAAGAACAAATGGGAATATGACATCACTTGATAGTGTAACTGAGGTTTCAGAAAACCCAAGTCAAGAAACAGAACAACAAGATCAAGATGCACGGATTGACCCTGCGTTCCTGGATGCACTTCCTGATGGGTTGCGTGCTGAGGTTCTTTCTGGTCGCCAGGGTCCAGTGGCACAACCCGTAAATACTGAACCACAAAATGGAGGGGACAATGTCAATGTCAATGGAAATGACAATGAAATTGACCCTGAATTCCTTGCAGCACTCCCGCCAGATATTCGGGCAGAAGTTTTAGCACAACAACAGGCACAAGGGGCACAACGGTCACACGGATTGGAAGGTCAACCCGAGGAGATGGATACCGTATCAATAATCGCTACTTTCCCTTCAGAAATACGGGAAGAGGTATGGTTTTTTTTTTGCCTGACATTCTCCTTTTGAGTAATCTTTTTTATATTTTAACCCAATTTTTATATATATCTTCAGGTTCTTTTAACATCGTCGGAAGCTGTTCTTTCCAATCTTACACCTGCTCTTGTGGCGGAGGCAAACATGTTGAGAGAGAGGTTTGCTGGCCGCTTCAATCGGACACTTTTCGGTATGTACCCTAGAAGTAGGAGAGGCGAGTCTTCTAGAAGAGGTGAAGTAGCTGGATCCAATGGGGTTGTGACACGTAGGTCAACAGGAAGTAAGCCTATTGAAACTGATGGAGCTCCTTTAGTTGACACGGGTGATCTCAAAGCAATGATTCGGTTGCTTCGAGTAGTTCAGGTAGTAATCCAGCCAGAGTGACTCTGCTCATTATCTCTCACACCTTCTCATCATTCTGTTGTTTTTCTTTTGTTATCCAGCCAATATACAAACCTCAGCTACAAAGACTGCTCTTGAATTTATGTGCTCATGCGTACACTAGATCTGATGTGGTAAAAATATTAATGGACTTTTTGGTCCTTGATACAAGAAAGCCCAATAGTGGTTCAAATGCTTCTGAGCCTTCATTTCGGCTTTATTCTTGCCAGAGTCATCTCATGTATTCTCGCCCTCAAAGTTTTGATGGTAATACATTACAGAGCATTTTAGGGTTTGGGGTTTATGTTTTTGTTTTATGTGAGCTAATTATCTTTGTCTCTATTTTTAGGTGTACCACCGTTGGTGTCGCGGCGTGTTCTAGAAACCCTAACATACCTAGCCAAGAATCATAAGTTTGTTGCCAAACTGTTGCTTCAGTTTAGAATCCTTCCAGAAGCTTCCGAGGGGTCACAAACTCTTGATAAGGCTCGTGGTAAAGCTGTCATGATTGTTCAAGATGATGAAACAGAAGGTTTCTTGTCCATCACATTGTTGTTGAGCCTCTTAAAACAGCCACTTTATTTGAGAAGTATTGCACATCTTGAGCAGGTAAAAACTAAAAACAGTCTCTTCTTCACCCATATGCTAAAATTTCAACATACTCATCATTCTTTATCATCTATTCTTTTTGTGTGTTTGTGTTCCAGCTGTTAAACTTATTAGATGTCATCATTGATAATGCTGAAAGTAAGAAAGAATCTGATCCTAAATCATCAAAGGATGATGATGATGCCTCTAAACCCTCATCATCTGGTGCTAATCAAGAAAAAGAATCTCATGATATTCTGCTAAACTTACCACAAGCAGAACTTCGCCTTCTCTGCTCGTTGCTTGCACGTGAAAGGTCTGAATTTTTTTATTTTCTTCAGCTGTGTATTTTGATTTAAGGGTTTGTGTGTCACATTTAATGTTAATACTCCTTAAGTTTGATGATATGACAATGGCATCTTTTTGTGAATGCTGTGCTAACAAAATCTTTATTTCAGTTTATCGGACAATGTTTATACTCTTGTGGCTGATATATTGAAGAAGTTGGTTGCTATTGCTCCTCATCATTCTCATTTGTTCATAACCGAGCTAGCTGGCTCCATGAAGAACCTGACTTCATTAGCAATCAATGAGTTACATCTGTTTAGTGAAATCGAAAAAGCACTGATCAATAATGCCTCCTCTACTTCAGATGGAACAGCAATCTTAAGGGTTATACAAGCATTAAGCTCCCTTGTTTCTTCACTTAATCAAGAAAAAGAACACACAGTTGTTGAAAAAGAGCAAGCTTCTACCCTTTCACTAGTAAACGACATAAACACCGCTTTAGAGCCATTATGGATGGAATTGAGTGCCTGTATAAGCAAAATCGAGACTTATACTGATACTACCCCTGATGAATCAATACCCTTAACCTCAAAACCTTCCGGAACATTACCCCCGGGCACTCAAAACATCTTGCCATACATCGAATCTTTCTTTGTGACATGTGAGAAGTTGCATTTTGGGCAACCAGAGGCGGGTGATGATGTCAGCACTTCCGGGAAACTTGATGAAAAGAATGTGGCTTTTATGAAATTCTCAGAAAAACATAGGAAACTTTTGAACGCTTTTATCCGACAAAACCCGGGATTACTTGAGAAATCGTTTTCGGTGATATTGCGGGTCCCACGTTTTATTGATTTTGATAATAAGCGGGCACATTTCAGATCAAAAATCAAGCACCAAAACGATCATCACCATCATCATCATAGTTCTTTGAGAATCTCCGTTAGAAGGGCATACATTCTTGAAGATTCGTATAATCAGTTGCGAATGAGGTCAACGCAAGATCTGAAAGGAAGGTTGACTGTTCATTTTCAAGGGGAAGAAGGTATTGATGCAGGTGGGCTTACCAGGGAATGGTATCAGTTGTTATCGAGGGTTATTTTTGACAAGGGAGCTTTGCTGTTTACAACTGTTGGTAATGAGTCAACGTTTCAGCCAAATCCAAATTCTGTTTATCAGACAGAACATCTCTCATACTTCAAATTCATTGGAAGAGTTGTAAGTCATTTTATTAAAAAAGTGAAAATCCATGAGTTTATATTCGAATACACAGTATGTTATGTGAGTGTGATTGATTGTTTTTATTTGTAGGTTGGGAAAGCAGTTTTTGATGGGCAGTTGCTTGATGTTCATTTCACAAGATCTTTCTATAAGCATATGCTTGGAGTAAAAGTAACCTACCATGACATTGAAGCTATCGATCCAGGTTACTTCAAAAACTTGAAGTGGATGCTTGAGGTGAGTCAACTCAGCTCATTTTAATAAATATCCAAAATATATATATATATATATATATATTTTTAATTTAACATTTACTTACATATTGAAAACTCACGTGCAGAACAATATCAATGATATTTTAGATCTAACATTTAGTATCGATGCGGATGAAGAGAAGCTCATCTTATGTGAAAAAACAGAAGTAAGAATTGTTAATTTAATTTCAGATTTTTTTACCTTAATCAATCGATGTTGTAATTGGGAGGGGTATTTTTGTAATTATTTTATGGTGTTGATTGAAGGTAACGGACTATGAACTGATCCCTGGTGGAAGAAACATTCGAGTTACAGACGAAAACAAACATGAATATGTTGACTTAATTGTTGAGCATCGGTTGACCACTGCTATTCGTCCCCAAATAAATGCATTTTTGGAGGGTTTTAATGAATTGGTCCCTCGGGATTTCATATCCATCTTTCATGATAAGGAATTGGAGCTGTTAATTAGTGGACTTCCAGATATCGACTGTGAGCCAACTATTTTGACTTTTAATTGTTTTTTCCTTTCTTCCTTGTTATTGTTATTTACACAGCAGTTTGTTTTGTTTTTGTTTGTTAGTGGATGATATGAGGGGGAATACAGAGTATTCTGGATACAGTGTTGCATCTCCTGTTATTCAGTGGTTTTGGGAAGTTGCTCAAGCTTTAAGTAAAGAAGACAAGGCTCGTTTATTGCAGTTTGTCACTGGCACTTCAAAGGTACATAATAGTATACCTTTTTTTTATTTTTTTTATTTTTTGGCCCTGTATTTAGTATTTACATACATACAATGCAGGTGCCTTTAGAAGGGTTTAGTGGTTTGCAAGGTATTTCTGGATCCCAGAAGTTTCAAATTCACAAGGCTTATGGAAGCACTGACCGTTTGCCTTCTGCTCATACATGGTAAGATAGAGATAACCATGTTTCACTGTCAAATTACCTTTTTGCCCCTGAGAGTGAGTGTGATGTTTAAATATAAATATGGTTGGATGCAGTTTCAACCAGTTGGATCTACCGGAATATCCGTCAAAGCAGCATCTGGAAGAGAGACTGTTGCTAGCAATCCATGAAGCCAATGAAGGATTTGGTTTCGGTTAACATTTATTATTATTTATAATAACTTAAATCATATCAAAACTCATGACTCAGTAATGAATGTATATAATATAACTCTACAAACATCAATTGGACAATATATATATATATATATATATATATATATATATATATATATATATATATATATATATATATATATATATATATAGTTATATACTGTACAGTTTGAGTTATAATTAAATGCCGACTTTTTTCTTTCCTATCCATTTCTTGTTTTGGTAAACCAAACGAATTCCAAATTATAATGTTTTTATAGAACTCAAAATTTTTAGTGTTTTTCTTTTTATTGAAAATAAAAACACTCATGGTTAAAAACAGAAGAAAAAAAAAATCTTTCATTAGTTAGACCGAAAAGAAAACCCAAATTATGATGGCATGTTACTAATTTAATAAAAATTTGTCCGCTCAAAAAGAGATAATTTAATCTTTGATCTCATTTGGAAACAAACAAGCAAGACTGGGCGATTTGAGTCAATAAGAGCCTACATAACGATGAAGTTCTTTTGTTGTAGTTTTTTAAGGGTGGAGGATATCGGACAATTTATAATTAGACGTAAAACTTAAAACTATATAAAAATTATTTGCTACTAATTTTAATTTCTTGTTTTATATTTTGTATTTATTTGTTTGTTAAAAATGGTTTACGGATGGGAGAGAGAAAAAAAACCATTTCCCATATGGCTATGGTTTCACATCTCTCACTTTTTGTTTGTCTTCTCAGTGTCGTATCACTCGACTTCTACTCATTACCCTTTTCACTAAGGAAATAATCATTTTTCACCGTTTTTTTTAATGTTAAACTTTTTATGTACATATGAAAAAAAAATGAAAGAAAAAAAAATGAGGTGAGGGACAACACCTCATACTCCACAATTCCCCACATCCCTTAGCCTTAGGGAAGATAGCGAAAGAATGAAAAGAAAGAAAAAATTTTGTCATCCTAAGAGCATCCATAATAAGAGAGCTTTGTAGAGTTTGTCTGGTTACAGTTAGTTAAAAATATATGGGTCACATACAATAAATGAAAAACCTCTTGGTTAAAACTTGTTAATTAACAAACTTATCCAAAAAGCTTTCAATTAAAAAACCTTTAATAAAAGATTTTTTTATTTTTACAAGATTTTTTTTGTTCACACACTATACTCGTGTTTTATAATTACTTTTAGTGCAATACTTATCATCTTTTATAATTACTTTATACTCTTTCAAAAATATTTCTAATGGCATGTCAACAACTACTTTATATTTTTAACAAATATCTTAATTAGTTATAACTAAAATCATTCAAAAGATATATTAATATGTGATTTTATTTATATATTATATCAAGGTTAAAATATATCGTTTTACTTTCTATTGATTTGTATATTTAGGTTAAAAAGTGTGTCAAGTTTATATTATTGTATTTGTATGAAATTCTTTTATAATTTAGAAATAATATCAATAAAATATAAACTAAAACAATTTCAATATATAATTATCTTTATATAATAATATGTTAATATATGTAATAATAAAATTAAAAAAAATAGATATCATTAATGCTAAACAAGATATTAAATTAATGTTAAATTGATATTTAAATGAGGTATTTTAAATGAATACTAAATTGATATTTAAATGAGGTTTTATAAAAATGATACTGATCTAGAAATAAATACAGGAGAAAAATAAAACACGATGATAATCGAAAGCTTTTACAAAAATTTTTCTTCATAAATCTTTTTTCCTTGAGTATTTTTTTCTTTGTTTTTTGTCTTCAATGGCCGGAATCATAATATAGAGTTTTTGACTATAGCTCTCTTATTATTCATATTTTCTCTTCTTCTCGAAAAACCATATAAATTATTCTTGAACGGCCAACAGGCGACAATGGCCAGCATGATTTTAATCAACTTTTTTTTTAAGAATAATTGAGCTTTCTTTTCATAATAATATCTGCAATTCTTAATAAAAATTTTGAGAAAAATGTTTATACAAATTATTCACACGTTGTATACCCATACGGTTTTTACACACACTTTTGAAAAGCCGGCAAATTTTTTACTATGGTATGGTAATGATTCTAAAATCAAAGTGTACATTGATCACGTTGTATGGTTTTAGCCGGGCTTTCTTGAGGTATCTAATAACCTTGCTTCTGCTCGCCGCCACAAATAACCAATTATTGAGTGGATTGAAGAAGAGAGTCAAAGAAATGGGCACATATGGTGATACATGACTTATCAATGGACCATAAAGATGATGATGAGGTTATACCAATAAAGAATTCTACTAATTGGTTTGAGTCACGAGAAGGGTAGATGGTGAGTTTGAAGGCGACATAGAAGATACTTTCTTGTTTATGATCACAAACAAAAATAGGACACAATCGTACCCATTTTAGGTATGAGATTATGTGACCATAAACTTAAGCAAATAACCAATTATATTGTTGCTATAGGTTGTAACTTGTGGTATGAAAAAAAAAACGATTCAAGAAGATTGCTAGTGAGTAAAAGTGAAGGAAAGTCATCTTGCCCTTGTAGCCCGTGGGATACTTGGATGAATCAAGTCGCTAATTTTTTTTATCACAACTAGGTGAACAATGTTGAAATTTGCATAAAGTATATTTTTACTTTAGTATATACAATCTCTTAATTGTTTTCCTTATTTAAAGGTTGTTAGGATTGCTTTGTTAACACTACCAAGTACAAACCATGAGATGGAAAGGAGAAGAAAAAAATATTTATAAACCCCTGAAAATGGGGATCGCCATTATAAGTTATAACTAACAATAGCAAGAAAGGAGTTGATGTTGATCTGATATGTACAAAGGGATCAACACATCTATGGTTACATTTATCATGATTAATTCATTATGTGTAATACATATAACTTTATAAAAAAAAAAAAAGAGGCCACATATAATGTACATGAATTAGTGTGTGTTAGAATGTGTCGAACCCATAGTTTCACCGTTTTCCTTGGGAGTATTGAAAGGGGGAAAATGCACGAATATTTATATAGGTACTACTGTCTGTGTATTGTTGTACATCTTGGTAAAGTCATCATTTTGGTTATCATAATCTGCACTTTAAAATATATACATGTAACAAAGTCAGCAAAATACTTAACATCTTCCTAATCATTGTACTTGGATCACTTGTGTAAAATATATATTTTTTTTAAAAAAAAAAAAAAAATACCTGAACTCAAGTCAACTAAAGGTATGAATGAGCATGAAATCACGTCCCAGAAGTAGGTGTAGGTGTAGGTGTAGGTGTAGGTCTGGCTTTAATTAAAGTCCTGGAAACAGTGGTCCTACGAAGCTGGGGATTCTGAATGGAATACAAAAGTAAACTCCCATCCTTAGTCCCCGCCAACACACACTCCTCCTGTGTGACAGTCAAACAAGTAATAATCTTTCCAGCACCACTATACCTCCCAACTATCTCAAGCGACCTCATCAACCTCACCACAATCTGTCCCTGATCCCCCCCACACACCACAAACTCACCACACCCACTCAACTCAATACAATTCAACCTCCCGTTCGACTCGCACGAATTCAGATGCTTCCCGTTAATCGAATAAAGATGCAAACTCAAATCATCGTCAGCATAAAGCAAGATCCTTCCGTGCCTAGATGCCACCAGTTTTGACAGCTGGCACCCAGACGGGTGTTGGAGGGACCGCAGGTATCGGCCTTTCCGGAGGGTGTGGAATACGCACGTCCCGTCTTTTGATCCGCTGATCACTATGTCCAGCTCTGTGCTCGCGTATACGCATGTGATGACGTCATCGTGTCCACATAGGATGTGGAATGGTGTGTCAGCGATGACGTGGTCTTTGCGGTGGGAGGTGTCACTTGGGGTCCGCATACGTAAAACTTCCCAAATCATCACGGTTGTGTCGTAGCTACCCGTTGCTAAGATGCTGCCATCCGATGTAACTGTAGGATTTTTTTTTTTTTTTTTTTTTTTTTAATATAATGAGATTCTTTTTCTTTTTTACAAAAAAAAAAAAAAAAAAAGGAAAAAGAAATGAAAGCAGGTTGCTATTTCTTACCGTAAACACAGCTAACAACATCTTTATGCTGTCGGACACTCTGCACCAATCGTCCATCATTAAGGGAAATGAGCTGAAAGCTATTTTCCCAATTGCCACATGAAACAAGAAAATTGCCAGATGGTGTCTGCATTGTTGTAAAACATTGTGCTCCGAGTTCAATATTTTCAGCCAAAGGGCTACCAATTCTACGAGGCGAAACCACATCAGCACCAATCGCAAAGTAAGGATCCTGAAAAATATATATACAAAACCAACATTTTATAATAAAAATAAAATAAACCAATTATCATATCATCATGAATGAATGAATGAAACCAACCTGTGAGCTAGAAAAGGTGAAGTTCCCACCAGATGCCAATTGGGTGGTCAACCATAGTTTGACTGACATGGTGAGTCCCTGATTCACAAGGACAACATGTGACTCTGATATACCGACATACAACACAGCTGAAGGATGTGTACTTGTACTAGAAACTATTGAGGATAAAGTAATGGAAGAAGGGGCAAATCGTAGAGGGTGGGCGATTGGGATTGGTGGGCCCCGTCGAGGATGTTTCTTCCGGAAGATTTGAATTGGGGTTTGACCGAAATTAGCAATCTGGTCTTCAATGGCTGCCCTTTGTAACTCGTCTTCCATTGTTTCTAAATCAGCAGCTCCTTCGTATGTTAAATAATAGAAGATATTTGCTGCCTGTTATATTATTATTATTATTATTATAAATGATTAAAATATGCACCAACAACCAAAAACTTGTAATGAATGTTAAAAGTTAGTTTTTTTTTTTTTTAACCTCGACTGCTGGTTTTCCACGTTGTTTGTAACCAAAGATTAAATCAATCCAGTGGTGGAGATTTGAACTAACATATTCACTTTCTAGTGCTTCTCTGTTTATACTTATGAATTCTTCAGGTGATCCCTGAGCCAAAAACAATTATAATGAACAAAAAGATATCTACCATTTACTTGAGAGAAGTGACAAGTGAGCATGAAATACATACCTTGGCCCAAGGAGGGAGGCCAACATCATTCAAAGGTTCACCATCTTGTTTCACTCCAAAATGGTAAGAGTTTGAGTTAACAAGAAAGTCTGACATGTAATAGAATTCAGGCACTAACTCCTTCACATCACTTGTATTAGAAAGGCAGTTCCGATAAGTGCTCTCAATACTTTGAAAAAGTCGGTCTGCATGGTCAAATTTACCACCCTATAAAACAATAACACACATCTTATCTTACTTTGATCAAAATTCTACAACTTACTTTATGGAAGAAAAAAAAAAAAAAACACACAAATAAGTATTATACCTGCAATGTACGGTGGAGGCCTGTAAAAGGCTCTAACCTAAGGAGATAATATAGCACAATGCCCATGCTTGAGTAATGGGATCCATAAAAGAAACTGCAAAATAATATTCAGCATGTTACTAATTTTTTTTATATAGGTCTATAATGCAAGATCACTAAAAGAATTACCTGGGGATATCAGGGTCAGAGAAGTTACGGTATCTATCTTCAAAAACCTGAAATGATAAGCAAACAAGTACCCTTTTAGCATATTCAAACTATTGATCAAGAGGGTATTTTTAAATGGGCAAATTTTCAGGAAATAGCAATGTATTTTACTCTTTTTACCAATATAGACAATCTGCTTTATATTTTACCCATAATAACAACATGCTTACATTTTTTCACCAATAATAGCAATATGTAACTCATAAATTTCTTTACTGATAATAGCATATTAAAGTACATTGCTATTCTGCGTGGTTTGCCCTTTTTTGAATTCATACAGAAAGACAAGTTTAATTAAATAACCTCAAACCGTTTTTGATCCAGTGCTCCAACAGGCTTTGAAAGATCACGAAAAGTAGAAGATTTGCTAAAATCAAGAGTGTCAGATGAATAATCTGCCACTACCCAAGGAAACACAGGATACTGAGTCAAATCATTATATGATCTACCCGAAAGGGTATTGAGAACCATTAAATATTCAAAGTTTGTAATGTCTCTTCTCCTCCAGCTTTCTCTTGCAGTTTCAGCAAGCTCCAATGAAACACGTCTATCAATGAAGGAAATAACTCCAGATTTGTCTCTGTACCCCTTTGGAGAAACAGATTCGTTTTTAGTGGAAACTATCAAGCTTCCAACATCTTTGGCTTCTTTATTTGATGCAAAATTAAAAAATATTGGAGCGGTTGAATCGTTGAAGTAAATCTCTATGGCAGTGTATCTGAGCAAATAGCGAGTCCAGTGGACAGCCTTTATCTATTATCAAAAAACCAAATATTTAAGGGAAATCAATTTGAAAAGGAGGAAACAGATCGATTTAGAAAAGAAAAGAAAAAAAGAACCTTGCCAATTTCCCATCTTCTATGGCGCTTGATGTTTTCAGATTGCTTCTGAAGAAGATTACCAAGAACTGCATTTATGTTATCAGAGGCTTCCCCCTCGGATGTTAAATCTAAATTAAGTGGCCATTTGATGAACTTTTGCTTTTGTGCTGCTAAATTATCGGTTCTATTTGAATCAAAACCACCCGATGCTTGAATATTTCTAAAAACAGATGATCCACCTGTGCCTTCAACCAAGAACTCCCCAAAAAAATGTAGAAACTTCTTCATCACAGCCAAACGACCTGCTAGTTTCCTTTTTGGTGTAACAAGTACACATGGAACAGACATGAGGACCTGGCAGTTGATCAAAATGAAAAGTATGAAGATATACACATGGTATATTGGTATATGATTATTTAGGCCTAAGATCTGGTGAGAACCTTTTTTTTTTTTTTTTGTGAGGACTAATCTGATCCATTGATCTGATCGATCAATGGTCGAAATTCATTTGGAAAATGATGTTATTAGGAGTTGGACACAATGGCATAATTGTAAATATGCTGCTTTATCTATTTAACAAAAGCCACATGTCAATTTGTGGTTGGTGGGTTTGTTTTTTTCCAACAAAACTTATTTGGTTACAAGCTTGACATCATATTTGATAATCATGCCCTTATTGAATGAATTGACCAGATTAATCCTCACAGTTCTCACGAAAAAATGGGTTCTTAGTAATCTCTCTTCAGATTATTTATTTATTTAACAACTTTTCATATAACTAGGAGACATACCTCCGACTCTATTGAGCTAGTAGTAGTAGAGGAATGATCTTTCCTGTCATGGAAATCCCTCTGCTCACTTTCCTCTTTTGGAGCCTCTGAGTTCTGTCTCTCCGGTAAATCCTCACTGGTGGAAGCCTTCTGCTCACTGATTTCAGCATCAAGTTCTACAGATTCCAAAAAAACTTTCATCTGTAATCCTTCGAATTCCTTTAAGCAAGAACTGTTTCATTTGCTGTGGAATGTGAGCTGCAAACCCTGACTTTGTTTCGGGTGGAGAAGGAACAGTCCCATTGGTAGGAACAGTTGAAGGAGGATGACAAAGCTTTTCATTAAAATGATAATTTTGTCTTAACTTCTGCCTACGCCTCCATCTGTCTTCTGTCTTGTCAAGCTTCCAGTGTGTAACAATTTTGTTAGGGAATGGATTAGCTGACCATGGACCTCTTTCATCTATCAGAGTGCGAAGTATATGTATCCAATTTTCCTGTTACAAGTTTGGCTTTTGTGTGAAAACAGTGCTACAACAACATTAAAAACTTGCCCTAATTTTAAAGATATAATTAGCTTTGCATTATTTTAAGTCTGTTTATCGTGTGAAAACAGTGCTGCAACATGTATGACTTGTCAACAGCAGAATCTGGAAAATGGCAATCATAATCACATGCAAACAAGGCAGCAGGAATAGCCAAGATAAAGCTTTAAGCTTACAGCGGTGACTTGTTGCTCCTCATCATGAGCAAGCTGGAAGGAAGCTCTTCTGCTGTCATCTGAGGCAAGAATAGAATTTAAGCTACTGCGTATATCATCTTCAAAAGCTCTCCATTGATTCAAATCAGAAGATATAATTTCATTCATTCTAACACGAAACTCAGCAACTTGTTTTGTTTGCTCGGCACGGCTATTTCTTAAATATTTAACCTCATCTGAAACCTGAAAATCACATAATCATTGGATTTAATAAGATTCCATTGGTATTCAAACTAAGACAGAATGGAAAGTAAATGGAAGTAGCAATAAGACACACCGCAATACGCACGCGATCCTTTTGTATCAAGTTCTGGATTGTTCCGGATTCCTTTGAGACACTGCTTGTATCTAATAAATCATCTCTTCCAACAATACTGGTTGCCAACATCAGCTTCCCACAGTCGACTGCTTCACGGATCAAATGAGCAATGACATGAAACCGAGCACCATCATCCAACATCCCAAACTGGGATCTAACAGCAAGCAATGCCCTATGTGAAAGAAAATCTTATAATCTCACATTCACCAACACTTGTTAAAGAAAATCCAAAAGAATAAGAAAAGCAATACCAGATAAAAACTTGTAGTCGACTTTTGCTTTGTTCATCATCAGCAGAGAGGATACAGGGCAGTATGGGAATGAACTGTTGGACACATCGTGAAGCTCTTTCAAGAGAAGATTTGCATAGATATACGATCATAAGTCGAAAAGCAATCCTTGAACACTTTTCAGACCTTAGCAGCATAGCTTTATCGATTACTTTGTTTGGTTTCCCACTGAGTGCATTTGTGAGTCCTCCTGACACAACAACAGCAGCCATCTCTGCAGCAGGAATGTTAAGTGACTCGACCAAACCACGTGCTCTTTGACCAAAAGATGGCCCTACAGATGATGATGATTTTGGTAACAACCTGCTTGGCCCTTTCCCATGCATTTCACTAATCACAACCCATAAATTGTCATACAGATTCCACCATGATTCATCAATCTTTTCAATTTGATTAGAGACAGACTGCTTGTGAGCCTTTGAGATATGATCATGACCATCTCCCTGAAGGGCCTCATACAAAGCAGAAACAAGATCTCTATCATTTTCCAACCGAATGTGTTCAGGAGAGAAATCATAGCCACATGCTGGAAACTGCAATAGAATAAGAGAACATAACATACCACGTAAATTACAGAGTCAAAGAAGCCAACCAAAAGATATTAAAGGAACATACTGGAAGCTTGTTATCAAGTTCAGAGATCAGCAGCTCATCAACTAGTTTCAGAAGGTACAATGTATTGTCACGACATGGCTGTGAGGAAAGGATAATTTCTCTAGAAGATAAGTCCACAAGCCTCTTCATCAAATCCTCATATATATCACGTAGCAGGTACCAATATGACTTGCCACCCTGTAAAAAGTTAGAAATATAAATCCAAAATGAAACTAGAAAGATTGTGTGACAAGTAAAGGGAAGAGCATACATGTTCATATTGCATCAGGAGAAAATTCACAGTCTCTTCCAGAGGTTGCCATCCACCTTTTGATGACTGTATGTAGTGACATAGAACTAGAGAAAATAAGGTCTTCACATGGTTCTGCTCAACTAATTCAGGGTCACCATCACGTTGTGGTTTCATTTTGTAGGTTTTCAACACATCAAGCTTCATGGAAGCAACTAACCATGCTTGCCATCCATTTTCCTATAATAATAAAAAAAATTGAGTTATCTTAAGATTTGCAGTAAAAAAGTGGTAGGAATAATACTCGTTGAACCTCTTACCATAAGTGCCTCAATGTTAGAGGTATTTGAATCTAGCAATTCAAGCAGATCTTCAAGTATTTTTATTCTTGAATTTGCATCCTCACAGTTAGACATAAATTTAAAAATGAGAACCAATATTTGAGGTAGGAAGAACTGCACATTGGTTCCTTTGTTTCTTTGCTTCTCAGGCTGATTATGTCTCTGTATAACCTGCAAAATCATAAGAGTGTTTCAGTTAACTACAGCCTTATAAAAGTAGAATGACAAAACTATCCCCACAAGGGACATCACCTGTTTCGGGCTAGCACCACCAAGAAGAACATCGAAAAAAGTTGCACAAAGAAGATCTGTCTGAGGAAATCGGAACAGCCTGTCTGACATGGCAGAGAAAATGGGTGGCAGCCTTAACTCGATTCTCTTGGGGCCTTCTAGAAGAGTCTTTGATCTTCCCATGGCTAAAGTAAAGAATTTTGACTCCTTTTTCTCAGATGGGATACCAACCAAAAGTCTTCCCAGGAATTGCAAACCGAGCAATCGGATTGGTTCATAGCCCCTACAATATATATATATATATATATATATATATATATATATATATATAAATCAAATCAAAATAGGATTGGTCATGTTTTAAACACAAGAGAAAAGTACCTTTGAAGCAGATTGACAAAAAGACGACAGCCGCCAACTACAGTGACTTGCTCAAGAAAAGATGCAAGCAGTGATTTTTGAGAAAGAGCTCGGATAATCATATGTAAAATGTCCTCAATGCATGCCATGTCTTGACTTGTCTCAAAAAAGGATACAAGAGATTCAATATCCGACACTGTAATATGCTCCTTAAGACTCATTTCACCAATACTCAGTAAAAGCAGCCGTATTTTTTGTATTTCTTCTTTGTTGGGCCTCTCTCCAAAATCTTTGTTGGTTATAGGCTGCAAGAGAGGTTTGCTTCCAGCAATGGGAGAAGGCATTTTATCCCAGTAAAACTGGTGGATTATATCAAGAACACGTGGAAAACGACATAAAGATTTTAGAAGCCTTGGATCATTATCAAATTGCTGAATGAGAAACATGTATAGTTCTCTTTGCACGTTGTAGGCTGCATATACCCAGATGAAAGGATTGAGAAATACATGCGATATTGCATCCTCCACAAGGACTTCAGCCAAGCCTGTATAATAATTAATAAATAAACAATTATTCCATGAGAATATGTTAAAAAGACTAAACCACGAAATCTCAAGAGTTACCAACCACAATTTGAGATGACATTTAGCATATGTTTGAGAGCCGATAAGGTATCCATATTAAGTTGTTGGGAAGGGAGTGACTGCAACAGAAAACCAAGAACCGAAAATCCAGAAAGATTGAGCATTTGCTGTTGATTTGAGAGGTTTTCATCTAGAACAGAGGCAATAAGCTCAATGATTTCAGCAGTTATGCGCTCTTTAGTTATAGGTGTCAGCAGATTCTGACTGTCATTCTCGTACAAATCGATGCGGGTGAAGAGAGGGAAAAAGACAGAAACGCCCCCAGCACAGTAGATAATCTGTTGCAACAATCGCCGAGAACATAGTTGAGTCCCATTTTTAACAGTTGCCTCAAATGAACTCTTGTCAACCGCATGATCCAGCAAAGATGAAACATTAAATAACGCCCTGCGATTGCTAGCCTGAAAATGAGAACAAACGTAAGAATTCTTTAATGGCCATAAGCAATGTAAGAGAAAAGAAAACTTTGCCCTTGTTTAATTGACTAGCTTTTAACAGCAGACTGTAAAAGAAAAAGAAAATTTTCATGTATATTATCAGGGAAAGTTGTAAGGAAAACCTGTGCATTGAGTCCAAATATAATCTTAGAAGCCAGACCATCTTTGGCATCAAGAACCCCACTGGGCAGTGGGTTATCAGCAGAAACTGTAACTTCATTATCAAGAAAAGAGTACATGTAGTTTGGGCCTAGGAAATTGATTCCCTGCACTTGTTCAGAAGTGATGGCATCATTGAAGAGATAAACTGGACCGATTTGACCAAAAAATGGAGATGATTCTTTGCTGGAAGAGGAAGTGGTATCTTCTTCATAAGAAAGCAAATTAATCGGTGCTCCTATCATGCAACCGGTCAACGGTTCATTGACTTTGGGATAGCTGAACAAATAAACATAAAAAAGACAAGCAATTAGTTATTTACTGAAAGTTAGTAATAGAACAAAATCATAAAATTCTTCTTAAAACCAAATGGTTCAGACCTGCATTTTTCTGAAGAAACAAGAGCTCCATCCAGATAACATTTTACTAGACTCCCTCCTGAGAAAGCTCTGCCAATACTGTGAGTTAGGCACAGAAAATGCCATTTTTTACCAACAAGATTGAGAGGAAATGAAACACACTGTTGCTTCTGATATCTTGACTGCAAACAATAAACAAAACACAATTAAAATGTGCTAGAAAACAAAATATATAGTCTCTTATAAAAACATATCATTCTACCTCAAAAATAAGCCTATCCTTTGCAAGGACAGCCAAGCATCCTCTTCTACTATCTGAAAGAAAACTAAAAAGCCCCATTGTTCCATTTGTAGGAAAGCTTTCTACACGAAGCCAACAAGAAAAAGAATATCCTTTATAAAGAGGTAACTGCAGTGGCGTGTTGATTATTATTCCCTGCAAGAAAAAGAAAAAAAAAAAAAAAAACTGAGTATGCAGATAAATAAAAACAAATACCCATCAGTCAATTAAATGCAACCAAACTTACAGAATCATTTCCATCAAAGTTAAAGAAGGCTGTGGGTCCCTTTTCATTTAGCATAGATGAAATATTGGTTAATAATAATGAGCAATACTGCTGGCGGGTCCCCACTCTCTCACTTCGAAGTAGAGCAAATATTTTGCGAATTTCTTTCCCAGATACACTATGTCCACCAGTGACCTGAATTAACTGGCCAATTTTGAGGACAACACTGTCATTATCTTCACAAGGAAACCAGTCAAGAAGAAAACTAAGTGTTCCCACTCGGACACATGAAGCTCTATTTGATATGGAATCTCTGAGTAGATGAAGAAACATGTTCAGCCCTTCATTTCGCATTGAGTCACTGCTCTGCCCAGTTTTAAGATGGAACAGTAAAGATTCAGAATGATTTATGCGTAATCATTATAAAAAGAATTATTGCTAATTTGCTAGCTTCAAAGATAACAAAATAGAGATATAAAGTGGAAGATGATTAACCAACCTTCTGCAATACACTCAGATAAAGCAAGATAACATCTTCATTCTGATGCCAAAAAAAGGAAAAATATCAGCTCGTGAAACACAAAGAAAAAAAAAACTTATGAACTTAGGAGACTGTTTCTTTTTTACGTAATGGTAAGGGTAAAATGGTCATTTAGTCTCATTCAGAAGGTTAATTCAGTCTACAAAAGATACAGACAGACTCATTACCCATACAAGACTTGATAGGGAGGAAAAACAGAAACAGAAACAGAAACTTACCCTCATAACAGGATTCTTTTTGAGATCAAACTTTCCATCAACAAGCATATCGAGTAGAGCGGTTAAAAGACCTGCATTGGGTCTTCTGTGACAGAAGTCTAACAGCAAACTTTGCAGTGTCCGGTAACCTTTTCCAACAAGAGCTCGGAAAGCAGTCTACAAAAAATTCAGGTGTCAATAATGTTTGATTAGAAACCAAAATAAGCTTATTAAACAAGACACAAAATCCTACACAACAAATAAGAAAAAATGAATCTAGTACCTTGGAGGCATCATTACCCGTAAGCAGAGAGGTTAGAGTTTGAAGAACATTTAAAACCAGCTTTTCACCCTCATCATCTTCAGCATACCCATGCAATAAAGATACAACATGCAGAAAACACTCACCATCACGGAACAAAGTCTGGAAGTACTGCAAATATACAAAAGAAAAAGAAAAAAAAACGTAAGACTCGTTTTGACTTTTGACTACACCACAATGTATAATCATATACAAAATTATGAAAAAGAAAATATACCATCCGGTCTTTCACAAGCATGTCTCTCATCCCAACCAGTAGATCAATTGATAGTTTTGCAAAGTTTTTCTCCCTTTCTTTGAGATGTGTAAAGGTTTCCAAGTATTTGGAACATAAGTATAACTTTGCCTTTTGGTCTTCTTCAGAAGATGGAATGATCTGCCAAAGTCGAATACAAAAAATGCATTGATACGCAAACACACACATGTATATAGAATAAAGAGAAGAAGAAACTAGAAAGTATACCTTCATGAGGGCAAAGATATAAGAAAGCATGGAACTTCTCAAACATTCTTCCCAGAAAAGATCAAACAAACAATCGATACATGTAGAACTATTCAAAACCAAAAACTTTGCTTCTTCAGTAACCGAAAAGAACTCTGCAAAAAGCTGCATGCAAGCTTCCATACTATCCCGCCAACCACGAACATTCCCTGGTGACTTTGATTTCTTTAAAATTTGTGAACTACTCCTTTCACTTTCAGGTCTTTTGGACTCTTGAGCTTGAATACAAGTAACTTTGACCACACGAGGAATTGCATCAAGTGTCTTAAAAGAAGTAAACGTTTTCTCAGGTGCAAGCTGCAAAATGTGGAGTAGACACTTTGCTAGACCAGTGGTAACCTCAGGATTACAAGCAAACAGTTCCAGGGCATCTAACAGCACAGAGCATTCAGGCTGCCATAACAAAAACAATTAGATGCATAAGCAATACTATCTGATAAACTTAATTAGAGGGGAAAAAGTGGCAGGAAATAGCAACATAGGTTATTATTTTTACCAATATAGACTGTTTTTTATTTTTTACCCATAATAACAATGTATTTACACTTTTTTACCCGTACTTGCAATGTTGATAGCAATATGTAAACTGATAATAGCAACATAGTACATCCAAATCAGGTGTGCAAATTATCATTGTCAATCACAAAACTTTATAAACTAATCTTGGTTATGCCAATGTGGACCCTTTATCTGATAAAGTAAGTTGTCTGGAGAAAAAAGAGAAGGAACTTACCATATTATGTGAAGTTGCATCCAGTGTTGCAGCAAACTCCACAACAGAAATTACATTTGTTTGAAGGATATCAGTTTCATAGCTTGGTACTCGTTTGTTAGTGGATCTTGAACGAGTAAAAGGCTCAGTGCTCCATGGGCGATCATCACTATAGTTAAAATAAGCTTCAGGAATTACTTTTGAACCACTTCCAAAATAGAAGTGCTCTGAAAAGATAAAATCCCACACCCCTTCTGACCGAAATACATCCAGTGATGAGGGGGATAAAACTAGAATCTTCCTAAATACAAATAGCACATAATGCTGCAGTGAATACAGAAATATTCTGCAATCAAATGAAGACGAAAAAAGTTAAATGTTAATGTGAAAAGAATATGAAAAAGAATAGTTGTTAGAAAATGGTTCACCTTAAGTGGCTAGGAAGCTCATTTTGATTTGAAAAGGCCTTGATGCTTGGAAATACAGTTAGAAGAACCCTCATCATGAACTTTATTGAAAGTTCCCCATAGACAGAGGAAAATGGAAAAGTACTACGACCCGATTGCACTTGATGTGATCTTAAATCCTCTAATGGGATAATAAAGGAATAAAGGGTTTTGCTCAAATTAACAGTATAATTACTCCAATACTGACAACTAGGTTTATTCACAGACGAAGAAGTTTCTGTTATTCCTGTACTCTGAATATTGGCTTTCAAATCATCCTCCACCGATGAGTTGCTTCTTTGTTGCATGAATTCTTGAAACACGAATGCTGGCAAACAAAAGCTATTTGCAAATTTGTGCACTCTTCCATTTTCACAGAGAAATTGCAAATTGTTCAAGTTGCCAAAACTGTATCATGGTTAAGTGCATCAAATCAACAGTATAATGAAGTGATTTCTATTTTTCACTGATATTAAAATGGAAAAAAAAATGGGCATAAATGAAAGGATACACAGCTTCTCTGAGGACCTCCAAAGAAAGAACATGGAGCTGCAAAACCCACATTAAACGATTTCCATCTCCACTACAAAAAATGTGAACCAAAAAGTCATGTCAACAAAACATAAAACTATAAATGAAGAAGATATCCAACTAAAAACACAAAAAGACCATTGATATGTTACCTTCCATGATCAGAAGAAGATGAATTCCTTGAACTTAAAGAGTTAAATGATGGAACTCCCAAAGCATCCAACAACACCTCAAGGCCCCCAATGCTCCGAAAATGGTTTTGACCACGTGGGTTATCAGTCAATGCCAACTGAAGAGTCCTTAAAGTCATATACTGAAGAGACGAATCTGTCCATTGTTCTTTTAAACTTAATCGTCTAATCACCCGCAACAGCTCTGAAAACACCATTAAAAAGATTACCTCCCTTCATACAAAAAGCATAATTTAAAGTGCAAACAGGGCAAGCAAAAAAGATTCATGGAAAGCATTAAACCTAGGAAAGAATGAAAGTGATTAATAGCCCATTTTTATTTATCTCAGATATTCAAATGTGTTTAGTTCTCAACAGAAAGTAAATCTGAAGATGCATACCTTACCTACTAACCAATTAAGACCACCAGCTTCCATCACTGATATGACTGCCTTCTGATGCCACTGCAATCTTTTTTCAGAAAGAGGATCCCTTGAATCAATGAAAGGTTCTGGGGTTGTGGCCATTTTTTCAATACTATCCTCCAAGTTGTCAACGTCTATCTGAGCTTTTCCATATATATCTAGCTGTAAATTGATAAACCCGCATAAAATTGAAACCACATGTACAAGTATTTTTTGTAAAACACCAGCCTTTTGTACATTAGAACTCGATAAAGTTTCATCAGCTGAAAGCGCGCCAGCAATGGTTTTCAATTGGACAACAGCAGCTGAAACAAATATTGCAATGTTAAATGCTAGAAAAGAATAAATACAAGAACACAATGACATATACAAGTTTGCATTGTCTACTTCATATACAGAAATGCAAGTATGTAGTAATCAGATCTGGTAAATATTTTAGGTTTTTGTTTCTATTATGAGATTAGGCCCGCATTTTATAAATAGGATACAACCTAAATAGGAAATTTAATTTAATAACGTAAAGATCTCATGTAGCCATGTTCTATAAATAGTTAAATACTATATCTAACACTCCTCAAGTGGGAGGAAAGATGTTAATGATGCCTAACTAGTTGCAAATAAAATCTATTTGTGTTTTCTATAGAAAGTGCTTGAACTCTGAAACCCCAAAAAATATCATTTTAAGTGATAATAATGTCATCAAGATTCGATTGGACAACCCTAGTGATACCTCAAGAACACTAAATAATCTTCTGAACTTCATACTGAACTCCCTAATCACTCTAGGGGATTGGGGGATAGTCTAAGACCATATAAGAACATTGTCAACATTCATTAGATGCACCTTCCTCAACAATTAACCTAGTGGGAGTTTTGTGTATACTTCTTTCTAAAGAACGATATTAAGGAAGGCAATCTTTACATCCAACTAACAAAGGCAAGTGATTGATGATATCTAAGGCAATACAAATACGAATAGATAGCATCTTGGCCTAAAGAAAAGGTTTCATCATAGTCATATGAATCCCATCATTCCCATAAGCCTACAAATAGTCCTTTAAAAATACAAACACAGATCTCCTAAAGCAATAAATCTTTTGTTGGCAAACCTCATTGGTCAATTACAGCATACAAGACGACAATCTGAGCATTAAAAACTACACAATATCTTAGTCAAAAAGCTAATGGCTAAAAGAGAACATTAGGTGCTGTAGATCGAATCAAAGACACTATTCATTAGGTTCTGAACAAATCTGGCTGATTATTGATTAAACAGCCAAAACATATCACAAACAATGTCAGACAATAAAGCAAAAAATATTATAGCCTGAAATATACCTTTCATTAGCGCTGTCAGCTTTTGAATACCACCATAATAGCCCAAAACTTTACAGTTATGCATTGACCGGGTCATGATAGTCAAACATTTTAAGACACGAAAACCTTCAGGTGGAATGACCAAGTTACTTGAAGAACCTGATATGCCTGTCAATGAAGGCAAATCATTTATGTTTATTGAAATAATTTCATGCAAGAAATATAAGCCAATGAAGATTAAAAAGTGAAAAATAGGTTAACTTACATTCAGTGACCATAGCTGTTATATTTGTAACTTCTTCTATCAAGATCACTATGATTTCAGCAGGATGTGCAGCAGAACAGCCAATGATAACCTCATCAGGATTTTCAGACTCCTCCCCAGATGCAACACCCAAAGCAGCTTCTGTGGAATTATCTAAATCTAATGGCTCCCAATTCTTGTATATTACAAAAAATTGTTTAAAAAAGAAAAGCAATTAAGACAAGTGTATGACAAAGTTCAATTTTAATCGATAAATAGTTTATGCAGTGACATCGCAATACCTTTTCAGAGACACTTTGATATCTCTCCCATAGTGCAGATAAAATTGCCTCATCAGATGAAAAAAGCAACTCTATTTAGGACAATGCAAAGAAGAAACAATGCTCCACAAATGTATCAGTTATTTAATACATGTAAAACTTCTGTATTTACAAATAACAACACTAGATATAATCATATAACACACATCAGTAATCCCAGCCTTTACACGTAAGGTAGACAACAGAAACACTACAAATGTAACAGTTGTTGACTATATGATAATACCTAATCACTGTCTTGAAATCAGCAAAAAAAGTACCTGAATTTAACTTTTGGAGATGGAACAGGGAACTTATGAGATGCTGACCCTACACTATAGTCACCACCATAGCCAGATGTCCTTCGAATAAGACCAGCAACACCTCTTACAATGTTCATTCTTCCACCGCCAATATTCATACACAATCAAGACTTATACCCATCAAACTTCAAAACAATACAATCCACATTAAAACAAAAACAAAATAACTCGTTTAATTCAACATAAGTGATCAGGTTTTCTTGCAAACAAAATATGATAGAACAGAAAATGTTCAAATAACTGGTCTAACAGCAATTATAATCCACACACACACACACAGAGCTTAAGTATTCCTTTGTTTTTCATGGGATGTAAAATTGGTTCTTCACTCTCAAGTATGCTATTTATGTTAATTCTAGTTCATAATTTAATCTGAGAAGCAAAATAATGTCATGTCATGGAATAAACTTGTTGGACACACAATCTCAACATTACTTTTGCTTTCACTGTATCTAATCATCTAGATATAGTTGGTTGATTGCTGTCAAATATATGTAATACGATCAAGGTAGTTAGCTTACTATGCAAAGGAGCATCATACTATTAACTGTCAACAATATTGAGAAATACAGATACACAGACACATTCAGCATTAACGTCCTTTCGCTAACTTCATAACTTTTGTTACTTAAGTCGCATAGAATACAAATGAAATAGTACAGACAATGTTGGCTTATATTACTTTCGGAAAATTGATGATTAGCTATGTGCTCCCATGTTAGCTTTCCGGTTAACATAGGCAAACAAAATAGCAGATAGAGAAATTATGATTTTTAATTGTCAAAGATATCCATCGAAATACCTAATTCGCCGAAACTTCGTTGACGAGAATCCGCCCTTCCGATTGCGGATCATCGCTTATGTAGCGAAACCATCGAAAAAAACTGAAATTGTTCGACAAAATTCCTCTTCTACGTAGACGTTCAATAGATCTAACTGAAATTATGGTCTTATTCTGTAATCTGATGCTGATTTCTTCTCCAAGGTAATTAATTCCACTTGTTCACAAAAACCTTAGTGAGGAATTTAACGAAAAGGGAACAAGAAACAAGAAGAGGATCGATCGTGGAGGTTGAAGATGATCGAGATTATAGCATTTCCAAGAAGCACCCTTTGGTTTTTACTCTTGTTCATTCGGGGCACCCTTTTTGTTTTATTACGTTTAGTAGCCCCTTTTACATTCGGGAAATCTTCCTTAAATTCCTACATTCCAACTTTATTTATGATTTAGGGGTCGTTTAATAGTTGCTGACTGGTTAGAGCTGACGGGGTTAGAAGCTGACTGGGTTAGAAATGCTGACTGAGTCCATATCTGACTGAGTTTATGCTGTTTGATTATTTATCTGAATGGTTGTGCTGAATGAAAAAATGATCATATTACCCTTGTGTTGTCTCTTGTGCTGGATAAAAAAATTATAAAAACACAAATTATCATATAAAATCCAAATTAAACATACATCAATTTTGATTTCATACAAATAAATTTTAACAAATTCACAGCATATAACACTTTCTTATCTTAACAAATTTTGATTTCTTATCTTAACAAAATTCATAGCATATAACACTTTCTTATCTTAACAAATTTCATACAACATAAATTTTGATTTCATACAAATAAATTTTGATCTCATAAGCATATAACACTCTCTTGGGCATTTTGTCAAACACGTTGTGTGCACAACTTATCTCCTCCCTTTTCTAGCGGATTTTAGAGTGGCATTGCTCCAAAAATAGATTTACAAACAGATGCACATTCAAGACCATTTGAAACAAGACAATGGAATCAAATCAAGATTCTATATTTTCAAAACCAGTAGATTTCTGCACTTGGGTAAAGTCATAAAAAAAAGCAAAAAAAAAAAACACTCAAGAAAACGTTACCTGCAGTAGAGAAGATGGCGCATGAGGTGCAGATCGAGGATGGCGCTGTGTAATCGTCGCCGGAGAGCTGTTGGCGATGGAGGCGATCAGCTGCAGCAGGTGTCGCTTTTGTCTAGGTTAACAGCGAAGGAAGCTAGAGGCGAGCAAGGGTACGCTTCTTATTTTCAGTCAAGAGTTTTTTTTTTGCTTACCGGGTAAGTGGATTGGCTGACCGAGGTTAATTGGAATGCTGACCGAATCAGCTATATTTTGTATTTATCAAACAGCTGACTGCTGACCGAGTCAGCAGTCAGCACTGACCGGACCCGGTAAGTTGAAATCAAACAGGCCCTTAGCTATGATTCTTTTTTTTTTTTTTTACAAAATAGCCCAAAAAACCCTTCAAAGATATTTGATTTTGGGAAATGTGTTAGGTTTCTCACCCCCTTTGAACCAAAGGTGGGTAAATTGCAACGGATTTTAACCCTTCAACCTCGTCTTGGCTATTTATTCACTAAAAATTAGTTACATTTCTTTGATTTTTCACATTGCCACGATTATATAATGGAGAAATTATCCCAAGAAAATTAGGAATTTTATGTTTACGATGAGTACGAGGATGGAGATTTTGAGGATGTTCTAATAGATGTTGAACCGGAATATTATTTCAAAGCACATGCCAAGGACGAATGCAATGATGATTTTTTGAACACTCTATACGATGAAGACATCAATATATTTTCCTGATGGTGTAGTCTGGTGAAGGAGATATGAGTGGAGTATAATACAGCACACACGATTCGATTGTCATATGATTTAAGATGAAGATGGGAGTGGGGTAGAATACACCACACACGATCCAAACTGTCAAATGAAATAAGATGAAACTAACTATTAGTGAAATGTATGAATCACCATATCAATTGAAAAATTATCAAACTAATGTTAATTAGTAAATTCTTTATATGAATTGACAAGTTGCCCCAAGTGGCCCTATTGTTTTTGAATTGAGGAATGATTGTGATTTGTATATTGTTGATTTGGATGCTCATGTATGTACTTGTAGACTCTAGGAGATATCAAGAATACCTTGTATGGTGTATCATGTACAAGCTTCAATAGGAACGATGAGGTCTGCCCTATTTAGAATCCTCGACCTCGGTCAATGCCTCATACGGATTCGACGTCAACGCACCTATGACACCATCGACGTAACCGAAATCTAGACATCGGCTAATGCCTCGAGGCCGGTTTGGAATTCATGTTTTCGAATTTGAACCAATGACATTCACATCATCAACATAATTTAAAGGAGATGAAGTTGTATCTGAATCTAAATGAGATGCAGCTAAAGGATATGTTGAAGAAGAGACTTTAATATTATCAGTCTATTATAAACAGATACAAAGACCGAGCAAGTCATTGAAACCACTAACATCTCGACAAGATCAAAGTCATGATTGATGATCTCAGGTCATGTCTTAACATCTCTTTTAGATCCAGTTACAACTCCATATCCTTCAGTTACGTCGACGATGTACTACGTTGTTGATTCAACGTTTGGTAAATGTTGACACCGAATTGGCCCCAAGTCATCAGTCGAGGCTGAGGTTTCAATTTTTTCGACAATGTTATACATTGTCGGTTTAGCTTTCGGTGCATGTTGATGTTGAATCTGCTAGAGGCATTGCTGAGGCTGAGGTTTTGTAACATCCCAATTTTTTTCAAACTTTGAAATACTATGGTTATAAAAACATTCGAGTATTAACCCACGTTTAACAAAAACCGAGCCCACAAAAACATTTATGATTTAAACATTAGGTGTTACCATTAAGCATCATAAAAAACATAGAAAGCAAATATGAATTACATCAATACATATATTAAGGAACTCAACAAGTTCCACTCTATCTGTCAATACACATCATCTAGCTTCTATCAATCATCACTGTATCCTTACGTATAACCCGAGATACATGGCATAAAAGAGATACATAAGACAATAATGTCTCGTGAGATACGTGGGTTTGTGACCCAAAACATTTATCACATTTTTATCGAGAACATTTCAAAACATTTACATGAAAATCATTTCATACATAACATATAATATCATATAATTTGTTTCCAAGTTAAGTGTCAAGGTGAAAAGAACAAAATCATTTCACCAAGGTATCATGCTATATCAAGATATCTACTTCGCGAATGGAAGGTACCATCCCAATAGATTTTTCTAGTTCCTCTTATGAGGTATCATGGTTCGGACAGTTTTCTTTGTACATTTTTTACTTTCTTTCTAGCTTTCACACTCAAACATTATCATTACTTATATCATCATTTATAATAGCATAGATCACCAGAAAGATATAATTTTAGAAGACACATTTCACATATCAAAACATTCGTTCTTCCAAAACATTATTTGCTTTCAAAACGTTCTTACTTTTAAGGCATTCTTTCAAAACATTTCTTTCAAAAGTATTTAACATTTTCATTTCAAAACATCTCATATATCAAATCATTGGTATTTCATCATCATAAAATTATTTTACCATGTACCCCAAAGTGGAAAAAATGGCAACACACACCCCCTAAAATTTGTACAACCAAAAAAAGGACATTGGTGGATAAAATCCAAGAGTGTTGTGACAATAATGTTAAAGTTGTCAAAGTTGAGAAAATATGGTGGCAAAATTCAAAAGGAGGTTTTTTGTGTTTTTTATGTCAAAATGTAAAAGTTTTGACTACAAGGACGAAAAGTGTCAAATTCATTAAAGATTTGTGGCAAAAACACCAAAATGTAAAACTTTTCACTGCAAGGACTAAAAATGTCAAAGTCACTAAAGATTTGTGGCAAAAACCTAAAGACACAAAAACTTAATCAAAACATAAAAATATAAAAGTTTTGACTTTAGGGACTAAAAATGTCAAATTCACTAAATTCTTGTGGCAAAAACCTAAAGGTAAAAAAAGTACTATTGCTAAGCTCCCTTGGATTTTATATATATATATATATATATATATATATATATATATATATATATATATATATATATATATATATAATAAGGTTTCTAGTCCTTTTTCTAGTTCTTTTCCTTGGAACAACACTCTCAAACACCACATATATAACATGTATAAAAGTCAATAAATAACCATAATACCCCTCATAGGTTCCATTACTAAATTTTTTTGCTTCAACTCATTCCCTATG